CGGGATAAACCACATGCCTTCGTCCACGATTAGCTTATGCCACACAAGACGAAAGTCTCCGATGAACAGGCCATGTATCGTAGCATTTGTGGCATTCAAGTACATATGTGGCCACCGTTGTTGCGGGGATGGTAGTTGGTACAAGGGGGGTAAGTGAGGGTGCTGATTATGGAAAAAAATTTACTTTATCGATTTTGTCGATTTTTGGAAAATTTTGAGGTTGGGAGTTGGTACCGGGGGGGGGGGGGGGGTAAATGAGGATGCTGATTAAAACCGGAATCTATTTTATCGATTTTAGTTATTTTCGGAAAATTTTGAGCTAGGAGTTGGTATAGGGGATACGAGGGTGCTAATTATGAATGAATCGGCTTCAGCCAGATATGTCAACAAGTCTGAGATATGGATGCTCTAGTTATTCAATAAATCATTCGAATATTTATTCAAAATTCGGCTCCCAATGTTCGAATATCAGGGCTCGGCACGAGGTGGCTTACAAGCAAGCTGGATATCGTTTTTGGGACGAAAAGCAAAGGGGGTTTCGTTTTTGTGACCGAAGAGACACGGAAAATTGGCGACGGCGACCTTTTTTTTTTAGTCGACGTTTCGTTTTTTGGGGGATTTTTCGTGTTTTTAGAGGAAATTTGGTTGAGGGTCAAAGGGGACTTCGTAAAAATTCCCAAAAGTCAAGGGGGACTTCGTTTTTTCCATTTTCATCTAGCCACCTCGTGCCGAGCCCTGTCGAATATAATCGATATTCATTCATTCGATATTTTGAATTTCCGAATTTACTCGGAATTCATTTATTCTAGAATTTTTGAACCTCGAATTTATTCGATATTCGTTTATTCAAGATTTTTTATTCTCGAATTTTTTCGATGTTCGTTTATTCGAAATTTTTCATTTTCGAATTTATTCGATGTTCGTTTACTCGAAATTTTTCATTTTCGAATATATTCGATATTCATTCATTCGATGAAAAATTTTCGAGTTACCCAAGTATACTCAAGTCGTTCTCCATGTTCATCGAACGTCCGAGATACACGTAAGAAGACGTCTTCGTGATAGGGGTGACTTCCAGTTCCATTTCTACATCTTCGCAAAAAGCGTTCTTCATGAACTGCGTCTTCCGATTTATTCGCAATCCGATCTTCTTCCCTACTTCGTTCAGTTCAGCATCGTCTCTGTTTCATTGATACTGCTTGAAAAGAGAACGACGTCGTTCGCAAAACGAAGCTTCGACAGAAATCTTCCATCAACTCGCATGCCTCTCGTCCCAGCCCAGTAATTTCATCACTGCAAGGCCGCGTGAACAGCTTCGGCGAAATAGTGTCGCCTCTTCGAACCCCTTTTCCAATTGGAACGGTCAGAAAGCGATGGAATAGCTCCATTGTTGCTGTACAGTCCTTGTAGCAGTCGGCTACTGTCCCCACGTAGGCTGGGTCCACTCCTTGATCGACTAGCGCTGACAGGATGGCGTTGGTTTCGACGCTGTCAAAGGCTTTCTCGTAGTCGACGAAGGTTAAGACGAGAGGCAGTCGGTACTCCCGGCAGGATTCTATGACCTTCGAAACCGTCTGCATGTGGTCCATGCAGTTGCATTACTGAATGGAATCCTGAATGGCAGACGTGTCGTTTTTGTCCGATCCACAAGGCGCCCTGAGGACCCTGACATTGTTTTTGCTACTACCCTGCGCCGTAGGCGGGATACGATGTACAGGGTTTTTTTCTATATCTTCTTGCTGGCTGAGTAAATAAAACTCGTTCCCGTACAAGAACAGACTTACTAGGCCAACTCTTGATTTCCACGGGGCGATCGCTGACCCCGGGTTTGGAGCGGGGAGAACCGCCTAGCGACCTGAAAACCAGACGGCAGTGGTTTGGCCTGACCTTAGCTAGGCCGGCCGACCGGAAACGTCGAACTCCTTCACAGCTTGGGAAGCCCTGCCAGAGTATACACTCGATTGTGCATCGCAGTTCGACACCCAGTGTCACCCCCACGTGTCATCCCCACGCCACGATGGGGCGATCGACCATTGTGGGGGTTTCCACTCTTTAGCTGAAAAAATTACGGTGATACAATCCCACCGTTGTTGTTTCTCAACAGTTATATACCGAGATCCCGCGTGCATAGAATTGGATATTGTAGGATCAATTCTTGAAGCTTTGCCGTTTGAAAAAAAGACCTAAAATGGAGGTATAAAATTTAAGCCGCAGTGTTCTTACAAAGGTAATGGATGCACCACTTAAATTTGATGACGCAATAGTTTGTTGACCCAAGCAGAATCTGTAACTCTACAGGGTATGGCCTCGATGGATCACAAAGACTTAGAAGAAATCAAAACCGCTGGACGCACATTTTTTGAAAGAGTGCTTTTATTTTTCCCAGCATTAAAAGAAACATAATGAGAATTCTGTAAAGATTACTGTAAAGAATCCAGTCAGCATCTAGTTATTAATAACAGCTAAATATAAAATGACTATTTCATAAGTGGTCCAACCCTTCCTCTTTTTGGTTTGTTATTCAGAATTCTCAGCACGCCAACATAGAGATAGCGGCAAATGACGAATTAAAAAAAGATTGGATATCAATAAATCATTGAATGGATTATATTGATGAGACCTGATAGGAAGCAGGTCAAAGAAAAGGCGCCAAGTGCATTTAATGGGCAACTTCACTTATTCAGAATTCATGAATAACTGTATCAACTTACTGTTTGGACACAACGATGATGCATGTTGCCCATAATTATTCAAAATTTGTTTTGTAATAAGATTATTCATAGTGTTTCAATGTTTGAATCAGATACATCAAATTTATTCTCGTTTACACACATGTTCACCCGGTTCACTTTTGACATAAATCGAGTATAGCTGACTGCGTTCAGCTGAGACCTTGAGTATTTTCTATATACATACTAGCTGGCTTACCCGGCCCCGCCCGGCCTTGTCAGTGCTATGATTAAAGTCTTATTCCTACCCCTGTAGAACCTTTCCCTGCGCTTATTTTACATGCAGTTCCCTATTCCGCTTTAATGATCAGCATGCTCACCTACCTCCCTCAACAACTTCCCAGCCGCTGTGCTCAAACTTTGCAAACAAAGTCAATAAAATCGATGAAAGTAAGGGTAATTCTAAAAATGACGGAGCTATTCGGCTATCCGAGCCCCTAAATGTTTTTGTGATTGATCTCGCTCAAAGTCGGTACATGGAGGTTATTCGAGCTGGATGACGAATAACGTAGTCATTTCGCGCGATAGCGCCATTTTCTGGCTTTACGGTAGGTACACGTAAAAAGCTAAAATCATGGATTTCGCTGAATCTTTGCTTACGGGAACTGATTGACATGCTAATTATGAATATCATACTCCTTCGGCATTTTGGGACGTTTTCACTGAGCTATGGTAGGTCTACTGCAGAGGGGCAAAACCCCAGTTTTGGCTGAAATTCGGTGTAGAGAGATTCGACCTTCTGGCCACGACTAAAAAACTCTTTTCGTTTTGAGACGTTTTAGCAGAGTTATGGTACGGCATGGCAGCGGACAAAAATCATGAACCTGCCTGAAACCTTGGCAAGGGGTACCTGAAGTGCTTTTCAAGAATATCAAACTCAATCCCCACGATAAGGCAATTCGTGGGGATAGAAGGTCTCCCATGACCGTAATTCTTTCCTTATAGGACCACTGCCGCGAGCGATACACCCTTCGGCGGCTTTTGCCTAAGCAAAGAACAGGTTGAAAGATTCGCCGCGTGCGTCAGGTGTTGGGACAGGTTATCAGGATGACGCTGGAGATCGCCATGCGAAACGACCTTCCCATTTCGTGAACATCTGGAATCTAAATTGGCCCGAAAGCGAGAAAATGACCATTCAAACCCTGCTACAATTCACCGTAACTTCACAATAATGCGTTATGACAGCGGGCAAGCATCATGTTCATAAGCAGCATGCTTGCAAATCGTTCCAGGTAAGGTTTTGAGCAAATCTGGAACTTCAACCCATCTACTGTACACCCACCGTAACCCAAGAAAATGCACTATTCTGCGAAATCAGCATGAAATTCATGCGCATTAAATGACACCCTAAACAAAGTTAAGAGCAAATCTATGTTTTCGATCCCATAGCGTATATCCACCATAACTCTATAAAAAGGTCCTAATATGCAGAGAGAGTATGAAATTCGTAATCAGCATGTCGAATAACTTCTCTGGACCGAACTCCAGCCGAATGCATGCTTTTGACTTTCTAACGTACATCTATCTTAACCACACGGGGAGACGTTTTGCGGAGAAAGTGTGTTACTTGTAATCAGCATGTAAGATAACCCTTATACACGAAGTCTGAGCAAGCTCTACGACAAAAAAATTTTGAAGCCCGGATAGCCGAATAGCGCCAATCTAACAATGTACTCGTAATCAGCATGCTCGATTAGCCCCCTGAAACTCCCAGCCCCGCGAGTCAAACCTTGCAAAAAAAATCGGTAAAATCGGTAAAAGTAATCGACAATTGTGAAAACTAATATTGTATTCGGAATCCCCATGTTCACTTATTCCCTCCCCACTGTGCCAACTCCCAGCCCCGTGGGTGAACTCTGCAAAAAATCGATAAAAAACGATAAAATCGATAAAAGTAAGATGAATCCAAAAACTAATATTGTATTCGTAATCAGCATGCTCGATTGCCCCCTGTGCAAACTCTCAGCTCCGTAGGTGAACTCTGCAAAAAATCAACAAAAATCGATAAAATCGATATTGATCGCTGACAAAAAGTAGCCTATGATACACGCCGGGGTCCGAAGTGTATGTGTGCCAAGTTTGGTCCGGATCGGTTCAGAAATGGAATTTTCTATTCGGAACATACGTACACACTACATACATACATACAGACAGACAGACAAACAGACATTCAGATTTACATATAAGATTCACATACATCTGTACACGTATCTATCAACCCGTTTTCCTAATGGGATTTCGAACCCGAGTTTGGCTGGAATCATGGAGCTGCTATGCCAGGTTTCTCCTGCAAATGTCAAGTTCGGCATTTACATTAGTTTAAAAAGAATAATGTGATAAAAGCCATGACAGGTTTGAAGGCGTACATTGGCATACATTCGGAAAGGCTCTTGTCCCTAGAAACACTATCCCCTATTGCACAAAGTAACATTCCAAGTAGTGACTGAGCCGTAGACTTCGTTGTGATGGCGGAAAGTGATGGTTGTGTCACTATCCTTGCTTTTTTTGTACCCTAGACGTGTACGATTTGGAAACTGTAGTAAATCAAAATGAAATTACCTACCTCTAATTTTTCTAAGCTGGAAGTCAAACAAATCCAAGTCCAGAGTCACGTTTGCCTGTTTTGGAAGAATTTGAGATATGATGGTAAATTTGTGTCTGCGGTAACGTGCACCCGGCTCGGAAACTGTATGGACTGATAATCGACGACGATGCACCGAATGACGACGTCGAGTCCAGTGGCGATGTCGTTGTCGATTTAGATGAAGAAGATAAGCAGTAAGTGAGCGGAAGTGTTTGTTTTCATGACATATCGTATCTAAAAAGCAAATGCACATTACTTGCATTTTCCAGAAATGGGTAAGAATTAAAGTGATGCCTATTGATCGTATATGCTGCGAACTGCACAACCCAACAAAGTGCAAGCGATAAAATGCCTTGCTATTTGAAATGTGCAGTTATATCCTTGACAATGGACTATACAGCAAGTTGAAAAAATGTCCCGCTCACCTATTCTCTTCTTCTAAAGCTCTGCGATTAGAAGGAGGGTATGGTTGATAACGCGGCTCAACGGTGATCTGGCGATGAGACCTAGACAAACGAGGCTTTGAGTAACTCTAAAGTAACACTTAGGGTAAACCCCTCACAAACCTCTTTTGTCGAAGAAGAGCAACAAGTGCACAGGCGAAACTCATTGAGGTCAGAACAGCAATTCCTGCCAGTATCAACACGAAAGCATGCAAGATCTTGCCGTCACTTTTTAATCGAGAAAAAATCGAAGGCGAAAAGGCTGATGAAGGATCTTCTGACATCTAAAAAATAGAACAATGGAAAACCACATATAGCTTAGGCAATAGGTGAAACTATGAACAGCTAGAAGAGAGCTATTGAGAGCAGCATTGAGAATTATAATAGCTAACTTATGGGGCAAATTTTTTGATGAACGGAGAGAGCCATTGCCACATGCGCATGTGCAAAGGAGCAAACTGCAGTTTTAGATTGGAGGAGAAAAAGTAAGGGCTGAGACTTTATCGTTATTATGAATTGATGTAAGGGGTTGTAAAGGACGAAGAAATGGTGAAAGAAAGTGAGCAGTCTCCTCGTGATTTGTATCTGTCATATAACAAAAGGGTGCCATTGACTAACACTCCGTTCAATGAGCGCCACATCCGATGGGCCCGGGCACCATGGACATCTCTTTGTATGTTTTTTCATCGCTATGGTTGCATTAAAACACCTGACCCCGATTTTAATAAGCCTCTTGCCCAGTCCTTCTTCTGGCATTAGGGTTGTCGTGATTGTCGCTCAGATAACCGCCGGGGGCAGGCGGCCATGCGAATTTTGAGCAAGCGCGCACCGGAAGAATAGTTCGTTGATTTTTTGCCGCCCGCTTGCAGAAATTTGGAAGAAAGTTGGCGAAAGTAAAGACGAATGTTTGAAGGACAATCGCGGTTTTTTTATGGATTAGCTGCGGCCCAGTGGCCGCAATCTCGCGGACTTTCCGCGAGAATATGCAAAAATTTTGGGGCCGCACGGTCCTTTGTGGAGGACCGCGCAGCCCCCAGGTACTTTCCGCTGGGAGAAAGTACCTCAGCTTGAGTAATTAAACCAACGGTGACAACTCTGCCACACAGAGTCTTACCTGCGCTCGACGTACGCCCGAAAATGCCTAAAAAGAGTACGAGCGCTTGCTGAAGGTTTGGCCAGCGCTCGCTGAAAGAAATTATTTGCCGAGCGCTTGCAAAAAATGCTGTATTGCTGCCCGCTGGCAGAATATGCGACCGTAAAGGATATGCCGCCCGCTGAAGGTTTGGCCACGCCCCAAAATTCTGCTGACCGCCTGCAGAAAAGAGCGATCTTGCGGACCGCCTGCCCCCGGCGATTATCTGAGCGCTTGCCGTCGTCTCCGTTCCTACAAAAAAGTTGCGTTAGTCCCTGAGTACACGTGAACACACCAAAAAACTTAGGCCCGTATGCACGTACATCCCCGCTGGGGAGGGGAGGGGATCTGAGAGGGGAAGCGCCATATCTCGCTACTTTACGTATCTTTCTTCTTCCTTTTCTATCTTGCTTATGAAGGTTCTCACACCCTACTCCCTGCGCATAATTGATGCCAGGTTACTGGCATAACTGATTAGATTTGTACTATTTTGTGTGATCCCCTGGGGATCCTTAGGGGATCACACAAAATAGTACAAATCTAATCAGTTATGCCAGTAACTTGGCATCAATTATGCGCAGGTAGTAGGGTATGAGAACCTTCATAAGCAAGATAGAAAAGGAAGAAGAAAGATACGTAAAGTAGCGAGATATGATGCATCCCCTCTCAGATCCCCTCCCCTCCCCAGCGGGGATGTACGTGCATACGGGCCTTAGTCCACCATATTACGTCAAAACCTCACCAATATTTCGTCGATTCCGTCCGGAAACGAGCAAATTGATGCAGTATGGTCTCAGACTCGCGGAAATCCATAGAGCGGATCGGCGCCAACCACCTGGCACCTGCCTCAGCTCTTCCGGTTCAGCTTTCCCCCAATGAGATACGAATGAGCGCGAGGTATCCTTGAATGATAGATCATTTCAATAAGCCTCTTGCCAAGATCCAAAGTAGAGGAATCATCAGAAATAAATTGTCTTAATTATGTCAAGAGTAAAGAAACACTCGAAAAATCGCATTTTTTATGACTTGCTGATGATTGGTACTTTTTATTGACCAGCAATGAGGCTTTTCGCCTTCTGTTCTAAGTAGTTGTTGAATGGGGAACGGAACTTACATACTTGGATAGGCTCGCCGCCACGTAGTCAGCAGAGTTTATGAGAGGCCATGAACTGGCAGCAATTCTGATTTGCACCCACTTAGCACCAAGAGCTGATTCTGCACGCGGTAACTCCGCCATCATTTCACATTTTATGAGGTCGGGATTTTACTGAAATGAATTTGAAGTTCAGTAGTGAATGCAGTTCAATTAAGGTGAAAATTGGTATTTAGGGTTTTTGATTAGAATAGTGGTTTCGCTTGAAATCTCAAAATTTTCTTCTTTTTTTGAATTTTGGACCTGTTTTCACAAATCTTCCGTCAAAAATTCCAGAATCGTTATTCGAGGGTTTGCTATGTCGCTGTTAATGGTCTTGCTTGAAACTTTAGATTTTTCTTTAAAAATTTCTAATAATTAAGAGACTGATATTTTGAAATTAAGTGGAGTGAGTTTGTTTTCGTTATCAGTTTACCAAGCCGCGGTGAAATTGTGAAAAACGTTAAACCAAAAATTTCAAGGTTGCAACTGAAACCATTATCATGTTTGGAAGCAGCATGACAGAAAACCGCAAATACTAAGTATACTATTAAATTGATGCATAATTCTTGCACCAAAATTTTCAAAATTCTGTTACGTTATCCAGCTGCGATGAAATCTTTTGGTTTGATACATAGTAGAGAGAGAGAATCTTGCACTTTTTGACGGTTCTCGAGCCAAAAGTCCTTGAGGGCATATGGCAGCGATACAAGGTGAATAAAAGGAATACCCAAAAAGTGATTTTTCAATTTTTAGTCACTGAAATTGCTAAAACGTCTACTAGAATTTAAATTTATTTTTGGTCTAAATGTTACGGCATGCTCTTTTCAACTGAGAGAAATTGGTAGTGATTGGATGTCTCTGCGAATATTTACGAATTTCGATTTTTTGAAATGACTTATCGATTTTGTTTCAAATTGATTTTCTACACTATAATGCACTACAAAATGCTACTTTTGATACACATAACATAAAGCAGAACATGTAAGTTGACTAGTTCGTTTAAGCAATTTTAAAATAATTTTTTAAAATATTTTTTTGGTGCAAGAATTGTGCATCAACCTAATATACAGGGTGTCCCAGAAAAATGTGTCCACTGTTTGATTGTTAATAACTCTCTTATTATGAGGTCTTTCGAGAAGCGGTAAGCGCCATTTAGTAGAGCTGGCTTCAGCTTAGGTTTACAGTATAGAACGAATCACCGATCAATTTTCATTATTGTAGGATTACGGTAGAAGCTTGGAACATATGGTGTCACTGTGGAAAAAGCTGCCGTTTCGAAAATTTTCAAAAAGATGTGAAAACTTGTGTAATGGGGTTTTTAGGGACGCTGAGTTCAATACTCAACTATATTCGAGATTGCGAAGCTTTCTAAACAATGTAACTGCACTTTTTAAGAACATTGAGAAAATGGCCGCTACTGCTTACCTCGCATAACTCTTCAGTGAAGCATCATAATAAGTTGGGAACTTTACAGTTAGAATCAGCAACTCTAATTGGCCTAGTGTAAAAGTTTTTTAGGCTGTTTTAATTCCTTTCTGAGGCAAAATATGCCTTTCATGGTCCAAAACCCTCTTTGTTTCTACCGTAATCCTACAGTAACGGAGAAAGATGGACGATTCGTTCTATACAGTAAATCTAAATTGAAGCCAGCTCTACAAAATGGCTTTAACCGCTTCTCGAAAGATTTCATAATTAGAGAGTTATTAACAATCAAACAGTGGATACATTTTTTTGGGACACCCTGTATTTTCAAAGAAATTTTTTGAAGAAGATGTTTTGAAGAAAATTTAGTTTTTGACTTGAAATCAATTTTTGAAAGAAAATTTGAAAGTTTTAAGCAAGACCATTAGCGTATCCAGAAACAGCGTCACAGAAAACCTTCAAATAATAACTCTGGAATGTTTGCGGGAAATTCCAATCAATGACCTCTTTTGGAAATTTTCTGGATGTCAGTTTCGAGCGATATGAAAGAAGATTTGAAGCAAAAAGGCACCAGCAAAATTTTTGGACGACCATACCCGCACAATATGCTCAGATATAGGCCAGCTGATAGAGATTCCCTCAGTAAGTGGGAGCGAATCTCCAAGTATCTGAAAGAAATCTTTTTTAACACTTTTCGGATCGCGAAATCGCGCGCGGCGGAAAAGAATGCCCTTTTAGCCATAAGCCAACAAAAAACCCTTATTTTGTAGACTCTGTGCTACATCTGTAATCAGCTCGTCAAATAAGATCCATCCCCAAAGTTCTGAATGGATTCGAAGTGTCGGAAAAGAATGCCCTTTTAGCCATTAGCCAACAAAAAACCCTTATTTTGTAGACTCTGTGCTACATCTGTAATCAGCTCGTCAAATAAGACCCATCCCCAAAGTTCTGAATGGATTCGAAGTGTTCAAATTATGTCGCTTGTGAACGACTTTTGTACTTTCCTGAAAGATAGAAACAAGAACTCAGTTTCTATTAGTATCCAAAAGTATCTATGTTGTAGACGGTACACACCAGTATTGAAACCACGGAAAATCTCTTCAATATCGAAACAAAGGAAATTTGCGACGTCGCACGCGTCGTTGGCGTTGCCGCACTTCGTTACAACTGTTGTTCGATTTGTGCTCATATCTCCTAAACAAATATCGGCGGCATAACTCTACAGAGTCATTCGAAAAGTAGAAGCTTAGGCCTCTGACTTGATAACCTTGGAGTAGAAGAAAACCTCCTGCAAATGTCAAAAAGATCCTTCAAGCAAGGTGCTGCACCATGTGCAGCACCGATCCGAAACGAGTTAATGTATCTGATACATCTATAAATCAAGATACGAATATCTCAACACATTTACTCAAGTCTGGGATGAAAACAACCGCCGGTGGTTGACATCTTTCACTCCAGTCCACTCTAGCAAATCGGCCGTCATCCAAAATGGATCCGCCATTACGGCAGGTAGAAAAAGCCACAATGGCAACATCTGTATTATATAAAATCAAGATATTGTTACATATCTGTGATCACTCTTATCGAAAATAATA